TGCCGGCTTCCTTAATAAGCACACGCCACGCTTTTGAACATATTATTTTGTTCATCTCTTAAATGCACAGTTGCATTAAAAAAAAAACAACAGTCTAATGTTGACAGTGCTTTTTCTAGAGATATGGTGAAAAATCAAATCTAGAAAGATCCCACAGCTATTACTAAGAGCCAAAACAAGACTAGATCTGTTTAAATGTAATACAAAGATTTATGGCATCATATATATTTGTCACACACCACTATTAGGCAACATAGAATAAAAAATCCTGGTAAAATCTCTCAGTTAAAAAAGCTTAATATTTGCTCAGGGGAAGGCACGTAAAATCTTAGTGAAAAATGCTGCTGGCTGACTGGTAACTGTGCACAGAACGTGCCCTGGCGGGGTTTTCCATTGGCTTCCGGCACTCCCAACCGTTCTTTGTTAATCTGCAAGACACTCGATAGGTATATTATAGGACAGTAACAATTTGCTAAAATGGACTTTAATGAAAACTGGCAAGTATTTGTTTTTAATTAGAGGCCAATATATCTTGGACAACAGATGCCCAAATCTCTTCAGAGAGTGTCTGGGAAATAAATATTTCTTAATGTTATGAATGTTGTTATTTTTACTGCAAGTGGCATTTGGCTTCCTCTAAAGTACAGCCTGCTTTGTGGATGTTACTACATTTATCTTCACAGCATGGTAAACAGGTGTCAACTCTGATTATCCTGGTTTTGCAGATGGTCGAAAGAAACTCAGGAGTTCCGCGACTTGATCAAGGTCATAAAATCATTTGAAGCTGCAACTGCCACGGACCTACTCCGTTTCTTAGTAACTCTAGTTAAATAGGGCACAACAGAAGAAAGAGAGTATTTTTTTAAAGGACTGCTTACCGTGATCCTGGTTTACATATTATCATTTGATCTTGATAATGGTGCAGATGAGAAAATGAAGCTTTTAGAGGTACCCAATGTTTTTCAGGTTCATGGAGCAAGTTCAAGGGTAGAGCCAGAGTGTGAATGCGGATGATTACCTATGACTCTTCTCCCTGCATTTTGCAGGTTGTTCTTCACTACTATGACAGTTTGTCTGTGTTTCCCAAGATTACAGCATAGAAACAGCAATTTTGATTGAGCTACTTGGGTATAAGAAGGTGAGGGAAGTAGGAGGTAACTGAATGCATGAATATCCAAATCTATCGAATCTATCGCTTACTTTCATCATTCTGAGTATCTTCCTTTAGCCTCTTACTATTATATATCACAGCTAGTACTTTGAAGGTGACAGAGGATCTTGTCCCCCCAACCCAGATTTAGCAGATGGGGAATCCGTAGAAATGTTCCTCTGAGGACCGAATATCTAGAAAGAAACTCCTCTATCTAGATTCCTTCTGCTCTTGCTGGAGGAGACTAGAAAGAAATGTCTGGCAAGGAGATATTGTGGACAAACTTACTACCCACTTCTCATGTCAGAGTTCCAGATTAACACCATCCATGGCTCTCTTTCATATTTTGTTTTTAATTCCACATGTTGGACTCATAAGGCAATATGTATGTGAGCATAAGCAGATACCCTAGAAAAGTCCAAGATTACACAAATTGAGTTATAATATAAAACTTACAGGAATTAATCCTTATGCATTTGCTGCTCATTTTATTCCAAACTTTTCCAAAGAAAGTATTTTTTTTAAGATTTTTATTTATGTATTTGACAGAGAGATCACAAGTAGGCAGAGAGGCAGGCAGAAAGAGAGGGGGAAGCAGACTCCCTGCTGAGCAGAGAACCCAATGTGGGGCTCCATCCCAGGACCCTGAGATCATAACCCGAGCCTAAGGCAAAAGCTTTAACCCACTGAGCCACCCAGGTGCTCCGATTATTATTGTTAATAATAATGATGTACAAAATCAAGTTTTGTGGTTGGAATGTGTGTGTGTGTATGTGTAATGACAAGGAAAATCCCTTCAGTTTCAAAAAGGTTTATTTGAGATATAAAGAAATAATAATGTCATCTAACATAAGCTCATACTGTCTGCCAAAAGGGGAAAACCGATAAAACAATAACCCAAAACTGCTAAGTCTTGTTTCATACTAACACAGTGAACTGAAATTGATTCGTATCATTCTCTGATGTCAAAGAATATTAGGAAAAGAACACAAATCATTGTTGCCCAACACATTTCATTATATTATATTCATTGCAAGGTCACTTTCTCATAATAAACACTAATCATTCTCTGGAAATTTCACCCATTTTAATCCCAACAGTAGGTGGATCACATCCAACCATTCCATTGTTATTATACCACGTTTAATATAGGAATGTTGATTAATGAAAATAACCCAACCAGGAAAATTGCTATTGCTCCTTTGAAATTGACTTACAAAAACTGAGAAGTTTTATTTGCTGACTTAGGGGACAGGGTTGGTCTAAATGTAATAGACACAGAAACAGAGTAAGAGAAAGAGACAGTGAGAGAGGGACAGAGAAAGAGACCGAAGATTCTTACTCATCTGGAACAGGATATATGTTTTAAAACATTTATTTATGAAAAAGAAAACTACTTGGGCAGATGCTTTATTTTATTTTTTTTTAAAGATTTAATTTATTTATTTGACAGAGATCATAAGTAGGCAGAGAGGCAGGCAGAGAGAGAGAGAGGGAAGCAGGCTCCCCGCTGAGCAGAGAGCCCCATGTGGGGCTCCATCCCAGGACCCTGGGATCATGACCTGAGCTGAAGGCAGAGGCTTAACCCACTGAGCCACCCAGGCGCCCCATGGGCAGATGCTTTAAAAGAAAGCAAATATCCTGTCTAAAGTTTGGAAATAAAAACAATTCTAAATAAGGATTACAGAAGCAAATGACAGATTTGAGAGGAATAGCATAATTTTTAGAGTCCAGAATATGAAAAACAAATTTTAAATGTAGTGCCTCTTCATAATATGGTTGACTAGATCAGGGTTTATTGACTGGTTTTCCTGGTTCTAAAGAATGAGTCGATGAATAACTTTCAAAGCAATGGCTCCCTTCTAATGTTATTTCTGGGTTTATTTAAATCACTCATTTAAATCTTCATGAAAGTTATTTCAGAAAGAAATGGAAGGAAAATGGCAGTTAATTTTACTGCATTGGCAGGCATGGAAAAAGTTCAGATATTGTATATTTCAATATTAGTATTCATATTTTTTTAACTTTTGCTTTTCCTTTTGAAATTACCTGCCAGTTTTCTTCTAAACTCTTTAAAGTGGTTATAATAATTGATTTAAAGCCATGGTTGTGCTTTCTGGTAACTAGGTGACCTGTTGGTCTGCTTCTACCATTTTCCTTTGAGTAAGGTTACATTTTTTATTTCATTCCATATCTGGTCCTTTTTAATTATATTCAGAACACTGTGTATTTTTTTAAAAATGCTGAAGACTAATGTATGGATGCTTCTCAAAAAATGCAAGGCCTTTCCTTTATCTGGCAGTTAGGATATGGGCTAATCTTTGTGATTTCTTCAGGAGTTGAGTTATTCTAGGCTGTGTTATAAGTGCAATACTAACAGTGATTATTCCAACCACCAACCAACCCACCATCCCAGGAGCTTGCTTCCTTCCTTCTTTTTTTTTTTTTTTTCTTTTTTGCTTATGTTTTTACTTTGATAAAATATCAGAAAAAAAGAAAGTTGCAAGAAGACTATAAGGCACTGCTGTATACCTTTTAACCGGATTTACCAGGGGTTTATATTGGTTCCACTTGTGTCCTCTTTCTCCCTCTCATCTGTCTGTCTGTCTGTCTTTCTTTCCTCCTCCCACTCCTGGAGAATGTGTTTATATTTTTATATTTATTTTGTTTTCTATGAACATTTTCAGATCACTTCTTTTTTTCTAACAATTTGTGAGTAAGTAGAAGTCATTGTATCTTTTTAATCCTAAACATTGACTTGTGTATTTTCAAAGCAAAGATGACTTTCATGACCACAGTATGCTGCATTTATCATTGATTTAACATTGATTAAGCAATATTGTCTAGTCCGTAGTCTTTCATGACTATACTTTTTAAGTATAGTATATATACTTTATAGTGTATATATATATATATATACACACACACACACACATCTATATAGTATTTATATCAAGTATAAGTATAGTATATATACTTTTTAAGTATATAAAGTCCACAAGCCAATCCTATACCAAGCATTGTATGGCCATGTCTCCATAGTCTCCTGTAACCTGCAACACTTTGTCAGCCTTTTTGCGTTTTTCCTGACTTTGATGTTATTAAAAATTAAAGAACAGCTGTTTTATAAAATTCTACTTAATTTAAGTTTATTTAATCATTTCTTGTGAGATGAGACTTAAGTAACAGCTTTTTTTTTGGCAGAAACATATTTTGAAAATACATGTTATCTTTTTCAATGAACCCTGTTAGGGGGCTTATGATGGCAATCTCTCTCAATGTTAGTGCTTAACTTTGTTAAGGTGGTGTAGGTGGGCTTAGTTGTTTCACTATGACGTTACCATTCTTTCCTTGTGATTGTGTGAGTTGGAGTCTTCTGAAAAAGAGGATGGGATTAGATGTGCAAGGAGTTATTAGGGAAAACCATATTTGAGAAAACAAATGGAAAGAGTTAAAGAAGGCAGGGAGTGGCATCAGATCTGGATTGAAGGAGTGAAGAGGATGGAGGTCTAGGCAGGAGACTCAGTTGCAAGAGAGTAAGAAATTTTCCTCTGAGCCAATGGTGGGGATTTGGGAACCAAACCTAGCCTTGAAGAGATCCAAGTCTTACAGGATGGGAGACTTTTATTGTGGGAGGCAGCCCTGTGCACCATAGGATGTCTAGAAGCATCCTTGGCCTCTATCTGCTATACACCAGTAACGGCCTCCCAGTTGTGACAAAAGAAAATGTCTCTAGATTTTACCAACTGTCACATAGGCAGGGGAAAAAATTGCTACTAATCGAAAACCATTGTTTCACACAAGTAGGTTTTCTATCCTCTGATGAAAGTTAGCATCTCTGAAGTCCCACCCTTGACAACATGAGATTTCCCCTAAAGTTATCTCTTCTTGCATGATGAGGTACGATTCGTGACCTATTACTAAAGCCTTGCTTACACATCTTGTGCATGAAGCTTGTTTACAAGAGATGTGTCCTCTGGTGTCTAGCAAGGAGCGATTTCAGCCTAAAGCCTTCCCCACACTTACTGCAAATATAGGGTTTTTCCCTTGAGTGTGTTCTCTGATGTGTGCTGAGAGTTGCCTTATCACTAAAGCCCCGCTCACACTCCTGGCACACAAAAGGCTTCTCCCCAGAATGTGTCCTGTGATGTCTTATGAGAGCTGACTTCTGGGTAAAGCCTCTCCCACACTCCCTACACACAAAGGGCTTCTCCCTTGAGTGGGCCATCTTATGCCTGACTAGATTTGCTTTCTGGCTAAAGGCTTGCCCACACTCAGGGCAGACATATGCCTTCTCCCCAGAGTGTGTCCTCTGATGACTGATGAGATGTGACTTCTGTCTAAAGCCTCGCCCACATTCCCCACACACAAAAGGCTTCTCTCCTGAGTGCGTCCTCTGATGTGCAACAAGAGTTGACTTATGTCTAAAGCCACGCCCACATTCTTGGCACATGTAAGGCTTTTCTCCAGAGTGAGTCCTTTGGTGTGTCATAAGAGCTGACTTAACACTAAACCCTCGACCACACTCTGCACACATATAGGGGTTCTCTCCTGAGTGTGTCCTCTGGTGTGTGGTAAGGTTTGACTTATCACTAAAGCCTCGTCCACACTCCTGACACACAAAAGGTTTCTCTCCTGAGTGTGTCCTCTTGTGTTTCATGAGGTACGATTTCTGACTAAAGCTCCGGCCACATTCAGGGCACAAATGTGGATTCTCCCCTGAATGAATTCTCTGATGTTTGCTGAGAGTTGATTTGTCTCTAAAAAGCCTCCCACAATCCCTACACACATAAGGCTTTTCCCATGAGTGGGTCCTTTGGTGGGTGATAAGGTTTGACTTATCCCGAAAGCCCCGCCCACACTCCTGGCACACAAAGGGTTTCTCCCCCGAGTGTGTCCTCAGGTGTCTGATGAGAGTTGACTTCTGGCTAAAGCTTCGTCCACACTCCTCACACGCGAAAGGCCTCTCCCCAGAGTGGGCCATCTTGTGGGTGACTAGGTTAGATTTCTGGCTAAAGGCTTGCCCACATTCTGTGCAGATGTAAGGCTTCTCCCCTGTATGTGATCTCTCGTGTGTGATGAGAGCTGATTTATAGCTGAAACTTCGACCACACTCACTGCAAAAATAAGGCTTTCCTCCTGAGTCGCTCCTCTGATGAACAAAGAGGGCTGATTTCTGGCTAAAGCCTAGCCCACAATTTCCACAATTCGCTACTTCAAATCCTGAGAAACCTACCCATTTTAATACTTTCTCTGTTTCTAAATGGTTTGCCTTCTCAGCTGAGCTGAGCTTTATTTCCACCACTGTCTTGCCTTCCCTCAAGCTTATCAGCTGTCCATCAGGTGGGCTGAAGAAAGCTCTGGAGGTGAACCTCCTCCTTGTCCTCTCCAGAAATGATTTGGAGCCTTCTTCTCTGTCATTGTCTTTCACTCTGTCATTGCAGAAACCTTCATAAGAGAGTGATTGCTGCTGCTGCTGTTTATGGTAGGCTGGGCAGAGAGTGCCTGCTAGCAAGCCTGGGCAGATTGGAAAGCAATGATCGTGTAGCCTGTGTTGGCGTTGCCAACGGCAGAAGTCCAGAGCAGAGGAGGAACCAAGTTGAATTTCTGGCTTTGCATCTGCTGAGCAGGAGCTGGGCTGAGCTTCACCCTCTTCTGTCCAGGGTTCCTCCCCCTGCTCTAGCAGAATGACAAGTGTTGGCTTGGGAAATGGGATTCCCAGGGAGACCAAGTTGCTATAGTTTTCCAGCATCACACACCTGTACAGCATCCTCTGAGTGTGGCTCAACAGCCACCACTCTTCCCGGGTGAAGTCCACAGCTACATCCTGGAATGACACAATGGCTGCTTCTCTCCTGGCTGTTAGCCCCGAGGCCATTTTTCTGGTCACCTGAATGGTCTCCCAGAAGAAGGATGAGGTCTTCTCTCTGCTCAGATTTGGCTCCTGTGCAGTAGCTACCCTCGGGACAGAGTCTACATGTCTGACCCTGGATGCGGGGACTTGTCACTGAGAGGCTAAAGCCAGTGGGGACACAATTGCAATGTCTGTCCCACGGCAGGTATGACACTGTAAGGGATAACAGATTAGAGGCAGACTCCTTATATCACACCTATCTTTCTTTAAGAAGTTTTATAATTTTAGCTTTTATGTTAAGGGTATGATCTATCTCAAATTCATTTCTGTTTGGTGTATAATAGAGATCAGGGTTTTTTTTTTTCTTCCCTTATGGAAAGGAAGTTTTCCCAACACTTCTTAAAGAGAGTTCTCTTTTCCCTTTAAAGTGCATTGACGTTTTTGTTGAAACCATTGGGTTATATAAGTATGGGTCTCATTTTTGACTCTAGTCTGATCTCTGCTATGTTCTGCTAGCTTTTGATGGTGTCCATACGTGAGCTGGAAGATTTGGCTACACTTTCTGATAGGTTTGCTTAGTTTCTCAAGTTCACAAAGTTCTGGAATCCAGTCATTTAGAGAATGGCCAAGACTGGATGACTTCTCTTTACCTACCAGGTCTTTATCCACTGTTTTTTGTTTGTTTGTTTGTTTGTTTGTTTGTTTTTCTCAAGGGTGGGGTGGGGAGAGAGAGAGGCATAATTGCCTGTCTGAGCTGAGGTTCCTCCAATCTACAGTCTCTTCCAACTAGCTCTTGGCATCCTCAGTCCTCCCATGGTATAACCTGGCAATGACCCCCAGAAAGAAGTAGCTACTGCTCTCTCTTCTTCTCTGAAGTGTTTGTTTCTCTATAAAATTCAGTTCAGTTAGCTTCTTCCAATCCTCCACTCTTCTCTACTTCATAGAAAAATGTGATTTTTATTTTTTTAATGTTTTTCTTGTTGTTACCATTGGAACAAATGTCTTTTTTTTTTTTTTCTTTTATAGTCTAACTGACAGCAGAATTATTCCTGGTGGGGAAAAATAAAGGGAGAGAGATTAGAATTATTTATGAGGAAAATAAAAAAAGAACTCACATTTTGAATCTTTTGTGCTACCAATTTTTTTTCCTCTTATCATAGTTATCATAAATTGGCTATGTTTTTGCCCTCAGCCATTGAAATTTACTCATAAGCTTTACAGTTAATATTTAACTTTAGTAACATTATTCTAGGATCAAATATCAAAGTTTTACCTTGCTTTTGTGATGGGAGATAAAATGGAATGATAGAGGTCCATATAACAATCAAAAGAACAGGAGTCACCTTCGTAATTTTTTCTCCTGTTATTTATATTTGGCTGCTGAATATGCTATCCAAAAAGGCCTTCTCAATGACCCTTGAGAAAGTTCTTTTCAGCAGAGACTGAAGAGTAAAACAAGTCAGAAGTTTGTTCATTATTTCACAATGAAAAAGCGGCAAGCTATATATCATTTAAATAAGAAAGAGAATGATGACTATGACATTATGAAGTGCAGAAATAAGATGATTTTTTTAAAGTAAGTTAGAGAAATCATCCCTGTTGGTTACAGTGACACAGTGAGGCTTAAAATGAGGACGCAAGAAGCTGATAACAGGAACATTTATTTGGGTCTGGCATTGGCTATTGATTCACAAGTAAGCCTGGGTCTTGGATTCTAGCTGGGAGCATTTGGACAAGTCCAGTCAAACACAGCTTCACTAGATGTACAGACTGTTTGAAACTGTTTTTGTTTTATTAAAGACAGCATTCACTGTGGTGCTCCTACAGTCTTTCAAGGCATATAAGAGAAGTGAATAGACAATATGAAGGAAGAAAAGAGTCTCCTTGTGTGCTTTCCCTGTTTTTCGCTTACTTTCTCATGTTTACCCTCCCCTAGCAATGTTTCAGCATTCAGACTACACAGGAAGGGTTATCTGAGTGCCAGCACTCTTCGCACTGTTCACACAGAAGGGCATGATGATAATCATGGTGATAATAATAATGGTTAATAATAAGAAGGATAAAAATAAATGAGATTTCTTTATGTTTCATGTAGAGGCCAGCTTGTAGGCACAAATACAAGCAAATATCATTCAAGAATCTAAATGCTCACTGTAGAATTCTCTATGGGTAATATGAAAAGATAAAATGCTTATTCTCAGCATTTGAGCCTCAGAATTGAGGCCCAAAGCAAGATGATTCTCAAAATATCAGTGTAACTCAAGCTGACAATAGGAAGAGGGAAATAAAGGGAATTCTTTGATCCAATAAACTTGAAAATCATTTGGTTAATCCATTTATACATGTTTCTTAATTGAAAATCTTCTCCAATACTTCAGTATGTCTAAATTCACTCTCAGGCACCAAGATAAAGACATGGGATATAGTGTTTCTGAAACATATTTGATGAAGAAATTTCTTTCCCAAAAGTATCTTTTGAGACAACTATTCTAAAAAACATGCTTAAAAAAAAAAAAAAGTCCAAAAGGAATGCTTTATTTCATTCATAGCTCTTTGAAAATTTTTTATGGAAATTGAATCATTTAGTTTATAGGAAGAAACCAGAGGAACTCAAGATATATGGAGAAAAGTATATAGTATAACATTCATAAAAGATTGGTCTTTGTCCTTGGTTAATGCTCAAGGAAATTAAATCATTAAACAGCGGCCCTTTCCTCCCATATTTTCTAAGTGCAACATGTTTCATATCCTCATCAGGAGGTTTTGAGGTAGTGTTGTGTTGTGTCATTGATGTAGATGTGTGTACATGTGTGTGTGTTGTGCATTTTAGAACATCTGATGAAACTAAACAGTGAGTTCCATAAGAGAAAAGACCAGCTGTTATAATTTTTGTTTTCCAAAACTAAACTGTGTCTATAAAACAAATAGAAGCTTTGAAGTAAACCACTTCATGTAATTAAACCACTTCATCTAGGTCCTTTTCAAGTTGGTATCTTTTGCAATCTACAGTTTGCAAGATCATTTTCCTATGATATATAACAATAAATATTTATTAAGTGTATAATATGGTCAGGTGATATAGGCTACATGCTAAGGATTCTTCTATTTCCACTGCCCATTTATCAAGGAGCTAAAAATATTAGAGCGCAGTTTATTTCATAATATGGAGGTAGTTTGAGCTTAATAACTTTAATTAAGAGACCTAAACAGCTGTGAAGAAGCTACTACTTCAATAGCATTTAGGTTACTAGAGGGCTCTCTGCTTGATCAAGAGAAGTTAAGGTATTCATACGCCCTTAACCACCTGGAAAGTAACAATCAGAGGTATAATTAGAGAATGGATAGAGACTAGTGCTTTTCTTTCCAGGTGAACAATAAAATGAATGTCAATTTCAGCATAAGGCTTAGGGATTAACTATAAAGAGCAACTTATAAATATCTCAGGTACTAGAGGACCTCTGAATGTCATACCAAAATTTCAGCCAGGGGACTGCAGTGGTCAGTGGTAGGGGCATGAATAAAGGCAAAACCATGAGGGAAGTGAGGGTGGGAATGGAAGTAGATTAAATTAGATCAAATGGCAACAGAGTAAAAGTGAGAGAAGCTAAAAGAGTGAAATAAGGGTTCATATTCTCATAATAGTGCATTGGCAAAAGAATGAAATTTAATAATATTTAAGAATTAGTCATAGCTATCTTGGACAATGATCTTGGCAATGGCATTACACAGTGCCTTCTGTGAAAAATCCATCATTCTAAGTTTTCTATAAAAATAATAATGTGTCTATGTGCGTGTATGTGTGTGTGTGTATTTAAAATATGAGGTAAATGTTCTCATGTTCCTCAACTGAGGAATGAGGCACTGGTTAAGTGATTTTTCAAAGTATTAGAGTAAAGGACAGAACCAGCATGAGACAGAAGTTAAACTCATTGTTAAGGCACGGGTAAGGACAAAGAGAAATGGAAATGGAATGGACAAAGTTCCCTCCAATTTCCACCAAGTCACAATAAGCTATTCTCAACATGGAAGTGTCTAACATAGTAAATTCTGCAAATATAGGAGATATTGGGGACAATTGTTAACCACTTCAAATATGTATACTTAAAACTGCTATACGGAAATAAAAAGAGCTAAGGATTCAAACAGCAATCTAGTTTTGGCATCTGAGCCCTTATCAGTATGATCTACTATCTCTCTGGACATAAACACTCTAATATGGGTCCAGACGACTTTATAAGAAGAAACCGAGCCCATAAGCAGAGCAGAGAACAAGGGAACAGAGTAAGCCATTTCCTATAAAACAAACAAACAAACAAAAAACACTAAGAAATAACAACTTGTTTATGTGCTTCTTTTAATTTTGAACTGATATAGTATTAGTCCTATATCTGTAGGAATAAGTAGTCAGTCACAGTCAGTGTCTTTTGAGGACATGTGCTTAACTATTATTTTGCCAAGTATACAGAAAGGCCAGTGATCAAGGATAGAAGACAGCCAAGAGTTGGCCACAGAAGATTCCATGAAAGCACACCCAGCGCTATCTTTCATGCCATCACTGCCTTTTGCTTCCTTGGTCAAATCCAAGAAATAGTTGCATATGGTTAGGCTTCCCAGATGTTCTCATCCGTTCACCACATGTCAGCTGTAAATCCAAGGGAAGGATTTGGACTGGTTTCATATATTCTTTTTTAACTTCCTTATAATTAAAGAACTAGATGGTCTTTATATTACCATCTTTCCAATTCACTAGTAAATAAATAAAAAGGACATTTAAATATATATCTGTACTATAACAGCAGAGTCAGAACTAGAACAGTGAACTCATAGATTATCTGTTACCTGAGGAAGAAAACACATTTTTGCTAGAACTATGTTATGTATATTATTCTTACATGTATGGAACACAGTATCAAGAAAGAGAGAGAGACAGTACCAACCATATACACTAAATTTCTGTACCCTTAACAAAGTTTTAGAGG